AAAAAAAAAAAAAAAAAAAAAAAAAAAAAAAGGGCTTGGCGTGTCCTTCAGTGGCAAAGCACATGTTTAGCATTTGCAACACCCTAGGGTCACCCAAAAAGGAAAAAATGATGATGCTTACATAGAAGCTCAATAACAATTTATTAAAGCCTAGTGTACCTGTAGTCCCAGCTATTCAGGAGGCTGAGGCAGGAAGATCACATGCTCAGGAGTTCAAGTCCAGCACAGGCAAGGTAATGAGACTCCATCAAAACAAAATAAAAAGCAGGAAAAGAGTCAGGAGTCGTGGTGCACACCTGTAATCCCAGCATTTAGGGGTCTGAGGCAGGAGGCTTGCTGCAAGTTTGAAGCCAGCCTGGGCTACATAATGAGTTTGAGGCCAGCCAAGACTATACACTGTGAGACCCTGTCTCAAAAAAAAAGCAACGGTCACACTCAAAGCAAATGGAAACGACAGAGAACTCAAGCAACTTGCTGGAGGTAACACAGGGTGTAGAGGACAAGGGTGAAATTCAATTCTCAATCTGACCCTAGAGCCTGGTGATCTTGGAGGGGTAGAAAGCAGTACTGCCCTGCCTCGGGAGTTCCTGGATGTGTGTTTTGTTTTTCTAGTCCCTGCCACATGAACCTGGTCTGCTGCCTTTCCTCCCCACTGGGCCTGAGGCTGCTCAGTGCCCAAGACTTTCCCGCCTTCTGATTTCAGCCCAGGCGCCTGAGCCTGCCTCACCAGTATTACCTTATTTGGTTCTCAGACTGACACAGAAGCTGGAACAGGACTTGGTTCAGAAGAAGGGGGTTGTTCACTCAGCTGGGAAGATCTTTTTTCTGTGACCCTTGCTAGAGCTCTGGAAATCCCAAACTCAGGAAACAGAGTTTGCCCTCGGGACAACCTCCAGAAGCAATTTAAGAAGCAGGGAGGTGGTTGTAGCCAGTTGTGGTGGCTCACACCTGTAATCCCAGAACTCCGAAGGCTGAGGCAGGAGGATTGCTTTGAGTTCGAGACCAGCCTGGGCTACATAGTTCCGGGTCAGTCTCAACAACATAATGAGACCCTCTCTCAACAAACAAAAAAGCAGGTGGTTGGGCTGGGGATTTAGCTCAGTGGTTCTGCTGCCTGCCTCACAAACACAAGGTCCTGAGTTTGATCCCTGGTACACCCCCCACCAAAAACAGGTGGTGTCTGTAAGTCTAGCACTCAAGAGGCTGTGCAGGAGGAGCGCTGAGTTGTAGGCCAGCCTAAACTGTGTAGTGAGACCCTGTCCCAAACCCTTCCCTGCTCAAAAAAGAAGCAACTTCAGAGGGCAGAGTGGAGATCTCGTGGTTTTCACATGTACCTCATTATACTTTTTGAGGGGCTTCATCTTTATTCGGCTCCGATACAGCTGGCTTCCCTAGCTGACTTCCTGACACTAGCACGCCGATGTCCAGTTTATAGCCAAGGATGCTCAGGCTAGACACTGACGGCTGTCGTCATTTAGCAGATGCGTCTGTGTAGCCAGAACGTTCTTTCCTCTGCTAGGGTTGAACCCAGGGCCTCTCGTAGGCTGAGCAGGCGTTCTCCCACTGAGCCACAGCTCAGCCCTTTCAATGTTTAGATTTTGAGACTGGGTTTCACTAATCTGTCCAGGCTGGCCTCAAACTTGCGATCCCCTGCCTGTAGTTGGGATTTCAGGCCTGTGCCTCCGGAAACTCTGTCTTCTCCCTCTGTTTTCCAAGCCCCATCTCGGCCTCCTCCTGGCCTCCCAGGTGCGGTGGGTGAGGGAGCTCATCTGCCCTCAGGAGGCCAAGCAAAGTCACAACCCAGAGCCCAAAAGCACAGGGCCCCAGGCTGGGCAGAGTCTGGGCGTCTCCCTGGTCGGTGCCAGTGTGTTTAAACTGGCACGGTTGCCCGGAAGCGTTGGTTAGAATTCAATCCAGCTTGTGTCCACACCCAGGGCAGTTGTTCGAAATGCGTAACCCCGACTCAGCTGGGCCCCAAGCACCACAGGATGGGGAGGGGTGAGAGTAGAGACTGTGCTGGAGGCGGGAAAGAGGAAGGATTGGACCCGGCACTTGGGAGGCTGAAGCAGGAGGATCACAAGCTCAGGCCCGCCTGAGCAGCTAAGTGAAAGTAGAAGGGACTGTGAATGTAACACCGTGGTAGAGTACCCCAGGTTCAATCTCCAGTACTAAAAAGAGAAAGAAAAAAACTAACCAAAGGGCCAGGTGCAGTGTTCATTGAGCAGTCGCTCAATACATGGTCATCGTTACCAACATCATCATACTAAAAAAAAAAAATCCTCCCGTGATGAGGCAGTTTCAAAGTGAGGTTTTGGACTAAGAGCATGATGTGAAAAAAATTATTGTCTGTGCATTGAAGCCTGAGGCCTGCAATTCAGCTCTCCCTGGAGCCCATGATTGTGGTTTCTACTCTCCAGAGAGAAGCCAGAATAAGTAGGCACCCAAAAGCCCAGGCCAATGGAGACAGCACCAGGAGACAGGGAGGCCGGGCCGTGAAGTGTTTTTCTGCCTTTCCAGACCAGCCCAAAGCAGTGGGGCTCAAGGTGCAACTGGACAGACTCCATCTGGCTGTGGCCAGGCTGTGTCGCCTGCAGGCAGGCGCGCACGTCCTCTCCATGCCGCAGGCCCCGGGTCCCTGTCTCTGAGGACAGCAGTGGGTGCAGCCTCACACCGGTGAGCTGCTGGGGAGGAGGAGGCGTGACTGCTGCAGGGGAGCATCGGGGCCTGGGTTTGGGGTCCCTGTGCCGGTTCCCGTAGGAAATGAACAGCAGTAACTGGGGATGTGTGGGCTGAGCTATCACCAGACGGTAGGAGGTAATTAGATTCATTAGCTGAGGGGAGACGCGGAGGTGATTATTAGCTGGTTACTGGTTCCGTTTAGGCACAAGCAGATGCCTGGTTTTTGTTAATATTTACAAATGACTCATCCGCTTTCCTTTGCCACAACCCCAAATCTGCACGGCACAGATGACACAGCCCTTTCTACTCTCTGGCAAAATGAATTTGTCTTCCTCCTCGGGGTGCCAGGCAGCTCCAGGTCCTGCTGCCCACTGTCTCCCAGCCTGCTCACGCCTCCCGGGGTCTCAGGCCCCCCGGGACTGCTCCACATTTCCCCTACCCGCACCCCATCCCGCACTGAGTGACTTCCAGGGTACCTCCGGCCCTTTTTAGTTTTGATTTTGAAGTGGCCCAGGCTGCCCTCAAACTTGTGATCCTCCTGCCTCAGCCTCCCAGTCTGAGATGTGCACTGCCGTGCCTGGCTCAAGATGCCGCTTTGGAGCATTAACTCATGGGTGACTTTCATCCCTGAGATGTTCTCTTCCCCACAGCCTTTCCCGGGATCCAGTGACCTGAATCCTGGTTGCCTCCATGTAGGAAGCTGCACACAGCTGAGAGGGAGGAGTCTTTTCCTGGCTTTCGAGCGTCCATCCTGTGGGAAGCCTAAAGGACCAGTGTGAAGACACCTCGGGCCTTCGCAGGGGCCCCTCTGGCTCCACAAGACACCAGGGCCCGGGCTGAGGAGGAGCAGGGAGCGGAGGGCTCTGAAGCTGGGCTTCTGGGTGTGGGGTTTGGGGACTGGGACTCTGACGCCGGGCTCTGCTGCCTTGAAGTGTCTGGAGCAGGAGCGAGCGAGCA